TTCGGGGTGCATTTGCATTGTCTGCAAGTTATCTTATGAAATGCTCAAAGTACGTAGTGCATAATCACCTGTAATTGTTTCTGTCTCAGACTGAATCAATTCTTCATTTCCTGTAGGATATATTTTACATGTTTTTACGAGAAAACTTTCCAAAAACTGTAAACAAAAACCCACAGATTTCATGTTTTTGTGGCATATATAAACGCGTGTCTCCGATTAGTTCTAACATAAAAGAAATCCCGCTAATAAATAAACCTCACGTAGTAAAAGTTTTTTCGCTCTTCTTAAAGCAACTGAACATTGCTACGATGCATTTCCTCCTTGGTAAGTACAACCATGAGTTTGGAAATCAAATCATAGAAATACACTGCTTTCCCAGGGAAAATAAGACATCTACAGGAACAGTGATGTTTGCTGTTGAGTCTTTAAAGTCAAAAGCTACTGCTGGAATATCTACAACTGAAAACCCACGTAGAAAACGTTCGATTAATGTCATGGAGAACATTTTTTGTAGGAAAGTACAGTACTCAAAGCACCAACGAAATGGCTTTTAAAAGGACTGTAACTTAACGCAATTTTTCGATTTCCCGCCGTCAGATTTGATGTGCCCACGCTATTATCGTTCAGCGGATGCACGCATGCGTACGCAAATTGCCCTCCTCTTGGCGCCAAGGCTACTCTACCAGAGTGCGAGGGTTAACCTAACTACCTTACAAACGCCCTGATAGAGACAACTTTGCTTACCCGGCACAAAAGCAAAAGCTTCTCAAAGGGTGTGGTGGTGGTGGGGTTGACGATGCAGTCTGTATGGGCAAGAATTCTTTACTTACGAAGCCCAGTACCGTGACTGAATTTGACTTAGAATTTTAACTGTAAACAACATATGTTATCTTGATAGAAGAGTTTTTTTCATTCTAGGATGTATTTTTTATTTTCAAAAATATTAAATTAAATATTGGTTTTCTTGGCAATTGTTTATTGTTTTCAGCATATTAGAAGAAACGGACGCTTCACATTTAGCCTTGGCTAAATTTATACATTAGGTCGATCTTTCCGTCTAAAGGTGATCTATCTAAAAGCTCAACTGAGCCCATTTTTGTGTTTACCGTACGTTTTCTTTGCAAAAACCGGACCGAAAAACCGTTACGTGGAAACTACCCTTTCAATTATACATTACAAAATACAACTGAGAACCTTCATATAGATCTGATGGTAATCTGTTACTAAAACGGGGAACTAACATTGTGCAGTGTGCACAAACTGTCCGGTGTGCGTTTTGTATTCACGTTTAAATGTGCGCTAGACTTAAAATGCAAATCATAAACGTTACAACAATTTTAATCTTAGAACACAAAGGCGAACTCAAGTTAGCAAAGTCACAAGTCAGTTGCTAGAATAATCGAAAACTCTTCACGTGCACTCTTTTTGGCGCGGATGAAAAATGTGCAAACGCAGGTGCAAATCATTCAAAGAGGAGCGCATGAGAAAATTCCCCAAGTGAAGAAATTTCATGACCTGTTAAAAACAAACTCAAGACCCTCAGTCATCTAAGTAGGCAGAAGAAGGTCATTGCTGGAGGGCACAAAGCTGACAGGTCTCTCTTTCGCCGAATACTCGTAATGGCACAGGGACGGAATCTTCAGATGGAGGAAATTCTTTCACATGCACTTGGACCCCTGCCGTGGGCTTTGTCTACCCCTGATGGATTCCTCCGCAAAACTAACAAGGCTGCTCTGGAAACCTGTTTCAAAACAATGTGCCGATGGCTGAAGAAATTCCAAGTAACTAAGCTGCAATTATTGACGGAATGAGTTTAGTGCAGAAAGTAAATGCTGACCGCCTATCGTTTGGAGATGTTGCTCACACAGTCTTAAATATGGCGCTGAGGGAAGGTTCGCAGTGCAAGAGAATAGATCTAGTATTCGACACCTACAAAGAAATTTCAATAAAAACAGGGAGCGGTATTTACGGGGCCAGGAAACTTGGCATCAGTTGGGCAGCATCACCAACACTCAGATAGTCAGACAATGGAGAAAGCAATAAACCAAGTCTCGTCAATTTCATTATCAGTGAACTGAAGAAGAAAGTGTGCAGCCAGAAGTTAGACAATAAAATGCTGTATGCCACAAGTGAATCTTTGTGCTTTGGAATAACTTCAGAAGGCAGTGCAGAGGTTTCTGCATTGGAGTGCCATCAAGAAAAGGACGATGGTCGTTTACTTCTACATGCAGCTCACGCAAGCCAAGACGGATATAGCTCAGTAATGATCTGTTCTGAAGACACCAACGTCTTTGTTATGTGTTCATGGCGATTGCTGACAGGCTCGCAGTACCCTTGTTCACCAAGTAGAAGCCGCGCTAGGCTAATCAATATCAATCACGCTGCACACTGTTTTGGTCAGGTTGTCTGCAAAGCTGTTTACGGAATGCATGCATACACTGCATGTGATTAAGTAAGTGCCTTTTCTGGGAAACGAAAGGCGCAAGCGCATAAGCTAGTGATGAGTGACAAAGAGAGCTGCAAAACCTTCACAAAGTTAGGTGATGAGTGGCAACTGATACAGGATTTATTGCAGAAGTTAGAGGCCTCTACCTGCAAACTCTATGCTCTGAAAACCCCTACCACAACGGTAAGTGACCTTAGATATCAGCTATTCTGTACCAGGAAAGGAGAAATAGAGAGTCATCAACTCCCGCCATGTAGAGATTGCTTGGTCAAGCACGCTCAGAGAGCTAACTATCAGGCTGCAATATGGAAGCGATGCCTACACCAGGACCCACAAGTACCCAGTCCAATTGGAAGAGGCTGGAAATTAGAGAGTGACAAAGGTGCAGAACAGCTAGTAGTTTACTGGATGGCAGGGAAGCAAGCTCCGTAAGCTATCCTTGAGCTTCTCTCATGTAATTAAACTATAAGCTGTTCTTCTGCCCGATGTGTTTGCGTTGCTAACGGGATGTACAGACATGTGCAAGCTGCCCAACTGTAACGACCAGTCATCTGCCGAAGAAGAGGAATGTAGGAACGAAAGCGATGAGGGGGATGGTGATGAGGAGTTGGACAGTGATGACGACTATTAAAATAAATAGGTAAATTTTTTCAGCAAAATACTTATCCTGAATATTTAAAAGCGTTAAGGTCACGTGCCTAATTAACAGAAATAACCTATCAGAGATGACAAGTGTGTGGGAAAAAAAAACAAACAAACAAACAAAACAAGTGAGGAACTGCGTGTTGACGAAAGTCCAAGCCTCCTTAAGTGACGTAAAACGTCACATGACCGGTCACGTGACTATTGAAGGAAACAAATACTCACTATGCCTGTAGGTGATGAGAGAGTGTAAAGGATTCGCGACGCTGAGGAATGCCCTAAAGTTACTGTTCGCGGTAGGACCACACCAAAAAATGAACTAAGGCGTTTTCGGAATCGGCTGGTCATCGAACTCAAGGTTAATGAAACGAAATTATCAGTCATGACAAAGTCAGTTTTTAGAAAGTCAAGGTTACGCAAAATACTTGGAGAAAATTTTGGGGACAAAAATGTGTAAAAAGTTTGACAGTGAAGAGACGTTGACAACTGGAGATGTTTCCTACAAGAGTGATTCGAAAAGGGAAGAGGTGGGGTCGTGCGTTGCTTGTAGTAGAAGCGATAGATTGTCAACAAAGGGAAGTAAAACGCAGATACCGTGGTTTCGTAATTGTTGTGATAGGCATCATTATCATTGTTCTCCTTTTAGTTTTTTTTTGGAAGAGTATGTTTTTCTACTTGTTTTTGTATTGCGTGTTCTTGTTTTTCATGTAATAATTTATGTTGCGATGTTGTACATCCTCGGTGTGGAGACTGTGCATTTTAAAGTTTTGTAAGGGAGTGTACTGATGTTAGTTACGTTGCTGGAGAAGGAGTGGAGTTAACTGTACATAAGGAAAGTGTTTTTGTAGAGGAAATAACGGAAGTGGAACTGAGATCTCGTCCTGTGCAATTTATTTACGGCAGAAATAAAATTATACTCGAACTGGGTTACAGCCACGCGGTCATGCACCTAGCAGACTTCCCGTGAAGAAGTTAAGACGCCTGTTACACAAAAGGAGAAAAGTATGGATATTTTTATGAAAGGGGATCCGAAAAATATCCTTTCTTACTATTCCTCCCCACTCACAATTAATTCCACAACCACGACGCCGAAGTGTACGCTCCCATAGCGTCTTGTTGGTTTTGTTTTCATAGCAAATGATAGCCTCGTTTCCATGCCGAGAACAAACTTTTGAAGGTGTCCCGCCCACAAGCTACTACCGATCAGTTGCTATCAGCCATTTTCTGACTATTTACAACAAAGCATTACTAAAAAACACCAGTATGTTTATTCCCCTTAGATGATACCACCCAGGCCTACTGGCTCATGGACTACTGGTTTTATTTTTTGATTCCAAGCATAAAAAAGTATGATCAATGTAAGGTAAGACGCGGTTCATTTTTATTTCTTAAAACAAAAAAAAAAGCTTCTCACAACGTCTTACTTGTTTAAGCTGTTCTTGTACAACACCCTCCACTACATATTTGCCATCTGCTCGCCCTATCCTCTCACCAGCTTGGCTCTTCTGTAAGCGGATCTGTGACATCATTTCATTTAAACGAGCCTGCAATGAACAAAAACAAGATTTTGACATAAACAAATAAGGTGCCTGCACTATTTAATGTGTATCTGACATATAATAAAGTTAGGCCCGTTCAAACGTCGCGTTACTGCTGTGCCGAACTCAGTTTAAGGTTGATTAAAGCAGTTCCTTATTTTTGTTTTTTCACGAGAGCTACTTTATTCGACTAGGTTAAATTCAACCTCTGAGACCAATTCGTGCTCCAGTCAGCTTAGCACGGCAGTAGATAATTGACGAAGAGATAATTTGGAAAAACACAAAGCAGAATGCAAGAAGTTAGCTTAAGTATAAGACCTGGAGGCACGATAAGGTTAGTCAAGTTCTCCACAGAAATCTTGGCGAAAATGTAATTTGCAGCTCAACGAAACTTGGCATGACCACTCCCCAGAAGCAGTGTGTAGAATTCAGACAGACCACCATTTAGACGACAATAGACCTGATAGTTTAGCTTGCCCTTTTGAGATATGCGTAGCAGAAAAAGGACGAGAGACGATTGACCAATGTCAGCTCTTAAAAGTGGAAGTGCCAAAGATCTGGAATGGCAGAAGTGTTTCGGTCATCCCTATCGTAATTGGGTTTTAAAGTTTAACTTTGTTTTATGGCAATTCAATGGCACCCAATTGCAAATCAAAAGTTACGAAAAAACAAGCCACAGGAATAATCTGTAAAAGAGTAGAAACTTCATAAAAGACGGATCACCATTACAACTAATCTAAAAATGTTAAGAGCGACGGTCAGGAAAAATCGACCAAAATCTTAATTTCGTGGCAAGAGTTGAAAAATCAATTTCTTTCATCTTTTGTTCATAGATAGCTGTTAGGTAGATAAGAAACCTAATGTAGATTTTTCCTGCCAAAAGTCTTTTATTTGTCAGAAAAATTAGAAGATCGATTCTCGATGTCGGAGTCTCAGACTGCCCTAATTTTTAACCCGAAATTCGCTAACATCAACTTTCCTCGCGTTCGCAAACGAAGCCGCATGGAAAAAATTTGGACACTTTCAATGAACAGAAAAATTCTTCTTCTTCCACTAAAAGATACTTTCAGGGCAATAGCGAAGCTCGTCGTACTGAAATAATTAAAAAATGAGGGATAGGTTTTCAGGATGACAAAAACTTAAGTTCGTTACTCATTTTCGACAGCAATATTTAACATGTGGTATAACTCCAAATTCTCTTCATGCTATTTAAATCACACATTTAGACATTCATTTAAAACTTACCTGGGAATTGGCTTGGGTTATTAAAGGAAATCTGTGTAAGACAACATCGAAGTTCAGGAATTTTCATTGTAGGCCGGCGGTAATCGTGTAAACACTTCCAATTTCGAAACGCACAAAAGTGGATATTTAAAGCCTAAAGGCTCGTTTTTCGTACTTCTTCTGGGTTTTCCCGTTGCAAAGTTGCTTTTTTCATCGAAAGAGTGGGGTAAAAAGGTGAAACTGGGTCAGTTTTAGCCACTTTGAAACACTGAACTCTAGCAGCCGGCGACTCTGCGTGACAATCTGTTCCGTGACTGCACGTGACATAACATACATTTGAAGAGACGGAGCCGTCAAAATGACAGTCACGGAATCAAGGTAGTAACGCAACGGAATTCTTGAAAGAGTAACGTTTCGATGCCGTTTCTTCTTTTGAAGAAGAAAAAATCAAACGCGCTAGAAATCTGGTACTCACTTTTTATCGAAAAATAAGGACTTTACCAATGGTAATTCGTTAAGGATGCCGGGAACAGGAAGATATTTCTTCTTGTTACTTTACGATCGAGGAAACTTGGTGCCGTTAAATAAGTTAGTTTGGTCACGCTTCACTATATTTACCGGACTCCGATGCTTTCGTTTGGAGGCTGCCTTCAGGAACCCAAGCCAATTCTCAGGTATGTTTTAGATGAATGTCTAAATGTGTGAATAAACGAGGACTGGGAAAATTTGGAGCTATACCACAGGAGAAATAATGCCGAAGAAGACAACTACTAAATCAAAGTTTTTGTCACCGTAAAAACCTGTTCTTCGTTTTTGAATTATGTCAGTTCAACGAGTCGTGATACTGTTTTGAAAGTATCTTCTAGTGAAAGAAGAAGAGTTGTTCTATTGATGGAAAGTGTTCAAATTTCTCCTTGCGCCTTTATTTACGAACGCGAGGAGAGTTGATGTTAGCAAATTTCGGGTTGAAAATACGGCCATTTTGAGACTCCGACCACGAAAACTAATATTCTTACTTTTCGCGAAAATTAAAGGCTTTTTGCGAGAACAACTTACATCAGATTACTTATCTACCTAAAAGCTATTTATAGACAAAACATGAAGGAAATCGATTTTTCAACTCTTGCCACTCGATGGTCGATATTTCCTGACCGTCGCTCTTAAAAAAAAACAATGAATATTCAGTCTAACTATATTATAAACTGCACGATCAAAAAAATATAACAACAGTGGAAATATAAATATCAAGTAAAAAACTATTAAAATACAACAAGCTCAACCCCCTCCCAATCCCCTGCCATGTTTATGATAACATTCACCCCAAACTTAAAGGCTCCCAAACTCGGGGTCAATCTAACCTGTAAAGGTATAGAATTCCAGATTTTTACAATTCTGTTGAAATTGTTATATTTACATTTGCTTATCCTAAAAAGGTTTGACTTTAAAGAATAGTCATCATCACGTCTAAAGTTGTAGGGGTCTAAAGCCTGAGAGTAACAGTTCAGAAGTGTAGATAAATCCAAGTTTAAGTGGCCATTCAGCCCTTTACATAAGAAAGTGACATCAAAGAGGTAGCGTTCTTTTTCAAGGATATTAAGATATTTTACGCGATCTTCACAGCTAACATTTTTGTTTCCTATGATAGATTTTTCAGCCCTCCGCTGAATGCGCCCCAGTTTGTCAGTGCTTTTTCTGATGTGTACAGTGACCAAAATTACGATCTATACTCCACTTGCGACCTCAGTAAGGCGTAATACAACATCTTCTAGGTTTCAGTATCCAGTATCCTCCTAATATCTATTTGTTCTTCTAGTTAAGCCTAAAATTCTGTTTGCTTTTCTCGCAATGGTATCAATATGGCCGAAATTCTAAGAGCGATGATGGTTGGTAAGTAGAACAAGGTCGCACAATTCATCAGTTACCTCCAAGACATTACTCTAAATACCTTACAGTCATCTGCATTAAGTGCCACGGTATTCTCTGGGCTTACCTTCTTAGGCACATTGCTAATAAAAATAACAAAAAACAAGGGGCCCAAAATGGATCCCTGTGGCACGCCAAATGAGATATTCAGCCAACTCAAACAATTTCCATCAACAACAGCCCTTTACTTTCGATTTGATAAGTAGTCACTACACTAGGTCAACAGCGGCCTTCATATTCCAAAGTTACATTAGCATTGACCTGAAGACTATCATCCAGATCTTTATTCCACATATAGTGGGTAAGGACCAGTTGGGTTATAGAGGAATTCCCTAACACAGTAAAGGTGACACATGACACATCACGTAAATGACCCGTTGGAGAATTCTTTTCTGACATTTGCCCAAAATTTACAACAAGAAAATAAATCTACGGTTTTCAACATTCTCTTTGCCATTTGCTTTCAACACTGGTGTTATATTGGCTTTTTGACAGATCAAGGGAACTTCACCCAGGCTAAACAACAAATTGAACAGGTGGGTTAATGGCTGCAACAACTCTTTGGCACAAATTTTCAAAATACTTGCGGGACTCCATCGACACCAGTTGCTTTACCGCCCTTCAATTTAATCAAAAAGTCTTCGACTTTATTCTTAGACTGTTTTTGAAACTGTGAGCTAACACCTAAGGATCAGCCCAAGATTTTAGGGACCATGCCTCTCGTTTAGAGAAGTCACAAGGGGACACGGCGAGGGTTATTATGCGACGGGTTCACTATGGACTGTCACAGAGAAAAAGCGAAACCCTGGATCACAGGTGGCTCTGTGATATCATGGAAGTCCACCGCTTCCACTACTGGCTCCGTAGAGTGATAACTCATTTATTCTCCGGTTGGAACACCAGACTCCTATGAGGGTAGTTCAGATGTTTCAAGAGGAAGCGGCTGAGAAAGGGCATTCATCGTTGGTTACTGAAGGACATACGTTCGCAAGAGCTCAAAAAAAGTGATTGAAGTAACAAAGATAAAGGAGCACCTGAAGAAAGCTGCAATGGATAAGTTACAAGAAAACATCAAGGCAGGTAAGTGCCACGGGCATGCTGTCTTATCTATGGCAAGATGAAGACCTGTGTCAAGACGGATGCTTTGCTTGGTTAAGAGAGTGGACGTCTGCACCTGCCCCACACCATAACTGGTGTAACAGAGCTATACGAGCAGATAACACTGACCAGAGTGTTAACTTCATATTATAAGACAGGAACCACCCAGGGTGATGCAACGTGTAGGATGTGTGGGGAACGAGACAGGTGATGGAATAGATGTTAGTTTTGAAACGTCCTCGGTTTTTTTTACCTCCCTTTCTTTTAGGAGACAATCAATAGCTATTATTTGCGTTAGTAGAACGTGAACTTAGTGACGCTTTAGTTAGGAATTTGCAGCTTCCCGCTTATTCACGCCTAAATTCGTTTGTTTAGGAAATTACTTAATTTCTAGTATGTTTTATACAACACCCTAGCTGCCATCACGTTGCCGTGCCTACAAGAGGTGACACGCATTAACTCTAGTTGCTAGTTATCCCGCAACCGGAACAATCATAGGATCAAGATACAAGCAACTATCTTTGGCAACTTAAGTTCTGCTATCTTTGTGCGAACCGTCACCAAATTCGAACCTACTACTACTACTACTAATGCTACCTCTACAACATTCTACCGCTTCTGCTACCGTACTACTACTACGTCTATTACTGTCACCGCACCTTCTATTATCGTTAGTTTTGGAACTGTGTATTCACCGTTGTGACTTGTGCAATTCTAGAACTTTGAACTGTGATAAAAGGTGTTTTTAATTATCAAGTGGAGTTCGAATTGTCTATTGTTTCACACAGCGCTATCTCTGTAATTGTTAAGTTTCTAAGTAAGTTGCAACCATGGAGTCAACCAGTTACATTAGTTTGAATTTGATTGGCATGCCTTTGCATCGTGAAGGAATTTGGACCGTCAGCTACGTTACACAATCGCTATCCGTTAAGCACGTGGCCACGCTAGAGGTGTCGTATCTAGGAAGATTAAGGAAATTGCCGATCTAATGACTGGTGAAAGCAATGTTGATGAAGTAATGAAAGGATCAATCGAATTAGAAAAGACGTTTAAGAAATTTCAAGATGCACACGAAGCATTGCTAATTGGTGACTGAGTACAGCATAGAAGTGTAGCCCAGGTCGAGGTTTCAGGGGGTTTGCTTTTATCTGTAACTTGCTAAGCTTTTATCATTAAATTTGTACATGACCTTGTTATCACAATTCTCTGCTTTCGCCCATTCAGCAAGCATGATATATCAGATGTATTGATGTCAACATTAGCGAGTTTCAAAAAAACATGCCTTTGCAAATTTTCAGCTTGCGTGATGTTTCTTGATGTTACCATTTTATGAAGATGTAAACTGAAGTCACCGCAAACTGGGAAGAGTATAATCCATTTATCTTGAAACATAATACACATGACTTACACGACCTTTATTTTCCTAAAGGCGTTTTGAATACGAACGAACACAGTAAATGTGAGGGGCAAAACAGTATTAATATGAATGAACCATAGGGCTTTAACTAATATACGGGTCAATTATTGTGCAATGAGATGAATCGCTTGAAAAGAGAGAGTTCGCTAGCAGATGTGATCAGAGGTAGTAAAACAAGGGCACATTGTACGTTACGTTCAGTTTTTTTAAAATCCAAGGACGGTGAATAGTGTTTCCATATTGTTAGCTGGCACAAAAACTTCGGAGAAGTTATAAAGCGGCATGGTTATCTGCCATGAAGAAAAGTTAGTCATGGGTGTCGTGAGACACACAGCGAACTCGAGCGAATTTTTAACTCATATCGGTATCAGGTGAAAACTTTTCAGCTGTTTACATTTGTTTAAAGTGCGTGGTGATGAAAGCAACATGCGAGCGAGAAATCTTTAAACTTTTTTAGGTCTCAAAATGCAAAGGATGTTATTCCTTTAAGTTAGAAAAAAATACCAAGAGGAAAATCTTAACACTGAATATTTTTTATCTTGCGGAAAAAATAGTGCGTTTTCATGTAGACTGTAGAAAGCAAATTAGGATCGTCTATTTAAAGTCTCAGTGCAGTCAGTAAGGCCCCTGGATTGGGATCAATTAGCCTGCGTAGCAAGCGTTTCCTCGCGAGGTTCGTCTAGAAAGCTGGGGCAAGAGCAAAAAAAAAATGAATGACGGGGGAGGGGGAAGGTTTGCTCTTCTCCCCTCCCCCTCCCCCTTCATCTTTTTTTTTGCTTACGCTCTAACTTTCGCGCAATAACTCGATTGGAAACGCTTGCTACGTAGGCTAGGGATCAATGGTCAGTTGGCTGTCTGTTTTGGTAAACTTCTGAGTTCAAACAATACAATATTTCTGTCTAGTGTAAATTAGCCCGGTGGCGAGTAGCTGACCCTGTCGCACGAACGACAATAATTTTTGGAATTTCCGGTTACGTCAAATTAGTGACGTTATACTGTCACGCTATATTTTGGGAGACAGAGGGATTGGGGGAGAGGTGCGTGAAAATAATGCAGATCGTTTCCCGCTTACAATTAATGACTAACTTGTTTATTTTTATTCATAATGGTGGAATTTAAAAGTTATTATACAGCTCCCACCTAAAAATGGTACTCATTTTTTTTTTGTTACGAAAGTCTTTCAAAAGGGCACAATGTTCTGAATGAGTTTGTGTTTCAGTCTCACATGAGATTCTGTCTCACGAAATGGTCGGCGACAAGATTTTATGGTAGCCTGAGTGTGTATAGCCGCCCCCTCCCCTCAGAAAAAATAGCCCCTTGGCAGCCCAGTTGAAAATCGCCTTTCGGCGATTCTTGTTACTAATTAAAACGTAACTATAAATAAATTACCAGGCCCTTTTCTTCTCCCCTTGCTTCTCTCTCTCTCTCTCTCTCTCTAGAGAAAAAGTAGGGCACTTTTGTTACTTCTTTCCCTTTTGATAATAGCATCGTCAATTTAAAGTGGTAACTCGTGAAACTTAAACTATAGACAGCTCACTTAAAGAAACATACGCATCTAAAAAGACAAATTCGAGCATTAAAACAGAAGAGAATAAGCTGCAAAGATGTCACAAAAAGGTTACAAAAGGGCCCGACATCGTGGTAGGTGCTTTTTAAAATGCTTTTCACACCTTTTCTGCATTTAATTGTAGCTATTACTTTACCATTTACACTCCATACGATTCCCTTACTGGCCACAACACTTTAAACTGGAGATATCAAGGCCGGGAAAAAAACGCCGTGAACATGTTTGACTTTTCATGTCCATGAAAGGAATCACGATTCGGAAAAAGCCCATGTTTGGAATTGAAAGTTTAAAAAGGTCAGTGTGACCTTTTGAACCAATCAACATCCGCAAAATTGTGGGGGAAGTTTAGTAAGCCTGTTGTTAATCTAATAAGCGAAACACAAAGTGAAATGGTCGTTTCCTTATTTTTTGGTGATTTTGGTGAAGTTACTGATATCTCAAAAATGGCCACATTACGAAAGTTCCCTTTTTGCTAGAAGTTCCAGCAAGTAATTTTGCCGTAATTTGTAAGAGATAAAAATCGAAAAAACAATCAATCTAAACATTACTAAAGTAGAAGTAAGTGACCGAAAATCCAGGTCCTTCCTTTAAAAAGTAAGGCGCTGGGCCAGCGGAAAGGTGTTCTGACCCCTTTTACGCATTTTGCGCTATTAGGTATACGGGTATATTGTTTGCGCAATTACAAGTAAATGCGTGATTCCTTTCCATCGATGAATTATAAAGTTGTTAAGCCTGATGGAAATAATTTTAAACAAGAGAAATCATGTGTGGCCACTGGTGTCAAACATGCATCCTGGAAAGTTATTCAAATTCAGCGCTTCTCTAGTGGCCCCGCCTTTATTGTGTAGTCAAATAGATTACAGGTTAAGGACCCTTACGGCTATGCTTCAGAACCATTTGAGCTGCTACTTTAAGCATGAATCTATCAAACGGGACAACGGTGGACAAACAGTTCTTTTATTTCAACGCAGGACACGGCATTGAAGGCACAGCGATAAGCAAGACAAAGTAGTACACAGCATTCCTGTAAGTCTTCATCGTCGTTTACAACGCTCATCATGGCCTTTTCCGTTCATCTCGCAGATGGTCGCACTTACCAAAAATCTCTTTGTTTTTATTAACTATGCTTTGTAGAGAAATTTTCAAAATTAAATTTAATTTAGGTGAGAACAGACGAATTTCCAGATCGGCTTCGCTTTAGACAAGAAGGGGGTTGGTTCTAAAATGCTAGCTATTGCTCCCCCTTTTACTCGTTAACCAATTCTTAATGGAAGATATGAATAAAAGATACTTGCAGTGAATAAACTTTTGGACTTCTTACTTATAATGAAATATTATTGAGTATGCGACACAGTTTAGTCGATCGCAGAGCTTAATTTTACCACTCGTTTTTGCCTTTTACAACAAAAAGCGACGGCAGTAACGGATCACGCACAGTGACGAAAATTGAGCATGAGGGTGTATCAGTACTCTGTACGTTAGGTAAGGGTGAGTCACTTTTTATAGGTTTTCGTTTGGTAAAAACAAGTACCATTTCAATGATCAACTAAAATTTATAGAGAGGACTACACTTATTTTCTTCTCTCCACATTGGTACAAGGCTGCTGACATCAAAAATGGGCAGAATGATAGATTCGACTTCATCGCGATGTCATTGTTTAATTTCAACTGTGTAACAACAAGAAAGACTAATAAAACTTTACGGCGAGAACACCTGTTGGTTGTCGGGAAAGAAAGAAGGTGATGCCTAACTTTGTTATTTTGAGATTAAATATTAATTAGAAATTGACATCTGTATACGTAGCGCAAAGATTAGCGCACATTAGATTTCACAATAATGTTGACAAAGTCCGAGTATATTTACGATATAAAATGATGTAACTGCATGCATTTTCTTAGGCTAAATAAGGTTAAAGAACGTGCGATTTTGTAATAGTCACTTAATTTAGATACATTACAATGGGAACTTTTACTGTATATGTGATTAATGTAAAATACTTCCTTACACAAGGATAGTAGAAAAACCACTGTATACTTAGAATGTTTTAGTTGATCGTTGATCGTTTAGTTACGTTGATAGTTAATCGTTGTGTTACGAACGTTGAATATGTGAGAATTGTACATCGCAGTGGATCGTTGGATTGGATTAAATGGTGTTGTTACATCGAAAGATATAGTCGTCTTGATTTGTTTGAACCAGCGGAGCGGGGTTAAAAGAATTCCGCAACATCGGTAAAGATTACGAGTACAAATATGGTAGATTCATTTGCAACATCGCACGCCCCTTGGAGTTTTGCTGTTGTAAAGCATAAAAATAACAACCAAATGCGCGAAACATCACATCATCATCATCATCACTATCACATCACTTTTTATTGGGATCAGAGTAGAAAGTACTGCGAGTGGAAAATCAAATAGACGGCAGCGAAAATGAATCTCCGCCGCCTTCACTATGAATTAAAGTTATTCACTCCTCAAACTGACCTGTGTAGAACTGATTTGCGGTGTGAAAATGGACCATGGGATACATACAGAAATGTAGGCCATGCAGTGTGCTCACAGTCAGGCAGCGGTGACTACCAATTCGCACAGCTTCGTGAATCAACACGTGCTTTTTGTATCGCCGATCTTACAGTCTGATTAGTTCCGTAATAAATTTAAAGTACGTCCGCAGTCACGACTTTTTAAAGTAAGTTTGGTTTAATTTGCTGTTTTTCACTCCCATAAAATGTAAAGAAGATATCTGCACGTCACAAAATGGCATCAACGCCAGTGAGCATAACAATGATAAGCCTCCTTAGACACTGTAGTTAATCGAGTAAAATATGAAAGACGTCTTTACAAAAGTTCAAAAAACGTGTAAAGTTAATTGACAGTATGTTTGTCAATAATTCAGTGGAAATGAACATCAACTGAACATCTCTCCTAACCCATGCTTTAATTTGCGAAAACCAGGGTAGATAATTTCTGTATACCCAGGGCTGGTGGCCGGGCGGGAAATGAGCTTATTTGAGCTTGCATTTTGACGGCATTTACTTTATTCCTGTTAAAACAGCGATTTTAATGTAGTAGGAATAAATGTTAACAACGTTCCTCATTTTGTTACAAAAGTGCCCGATCTGCGTTTTTGGGAGTAGCATACACACATACAGAACAAACTAACGGTCTTTCTTAGGGTGTTTAGACGTCTAAACCAGTTTAATTTTGATTTCGACAATATCACCAACCTACTCAAACCCGTTGGCTTTGAATAGGAACATTTTAAATACTGTACCGCTAACGTTCGGGACAACGTGGAAACCGTTTAGATGGGCCTTATCGTGGTTTATCTTCAGCTCGCTTTCAAGTGCACCTTTTCATTGATTTACAATGAGCCGGCTCTTCAATTTATTAAAAAGCCCGAATAACCTGTTAGAAACAATAGTGATAGTACATAGGGTTTACTGTTACTCTGGTTATTGTTCCAGTTTTCGGTGTTGAAATTATGCGTGGATCCATTTGCAGCGTACGCGTAAGACTATCGCATTTGTCCATTAAAGTATTTTTTGGTTGTTGTTCTTTTTATGCTTTATTACAACAAAAAAAGACCGCAAGGGGCGGGCGATGGTACAAATGAATCTACCATATGTGCACCGGTGTAATGTTTACTAACGAGCGTTTTTTATGAAGGGAAGGTCTCGTTGTAAACCTTTTTTACACTATTTTGTTGTTGTTACATGTACAGTTACTGACAGTTAGTCTGATCCTAGGTGAAATCTTGAACTTGAGTTATTTTTAAACTTTTATTAGTCTTCGTTGTTGTTGTTGTTGTTGTTACAGTTAATTTGATCCAAATACACTCTTTTTTTATAGAATAATGTTGTTTTCCCGGCACAGGCTGAGTATTTTTATTTTACTGTCTATTTAAGGTTGAAAATATTCTTGAACTATTCTTAAATTATAGCTTATGGCATTCCCACTTTAGAATGTATTGAGGTTTCAATTACCAGTGTTCTTTGTTTAGATCTGTTTTGTCGTTTAGTAAAATGAATAATTTTATACGGTTAAGTTAAAGACATATGACTGTATTGTGCAGGTATTTACAGATTTTTCAACACCAAATTTAGTCCTTTTCAAATTCTCGGCCTTGGGTTTATTATTTTAGCCTTGATACTCTCATAAAATATATTCTTGTAGGATAAAAAAGAGTGTTAAGGAGAATGTTTAGGAGAAGTCTCGAATTTGAGTTGTTTGTAGACCTTTATTAGTCGTTGTTATTGTTACACTTAATCTAGCCTGATGCTATTTATTTAATGCTTATGTGAAGCCTTGAACAACTTGATTTGTTTTTAAACTTTTATTACCCTTTGTTGTTACACATGTGAAATTAAACAATGACATTACGATGAATTCGCCCAAATCTATCATCACCCCATTTTCAAGTGTACAGAACGACATCACAATATAAGCTTTCAAGCTTCGCGCGCTCTAAGTCAAGTCATTGTTTATTATGTAAAGACAGTAGTCGCCACGCTAAAGTCAGTAAATAATTATCAGCCATTTGGGAATTTCGTTTTGCAAGTGAACCCAACCAATGTTTCAAATTGCGCAAAAATGGCGATATCTTTACTGTACACCCAGGTTTGGTGGGCGGAAAGAAGAAGGATGCCGGAATTTTCTCATTGTTAGTGAAAGTAAGGTAAAAAAACGACTACTCTGGAGTAAGAAGTGAGAGGTTAGAGCTAACTTCTTTTTCGAACGGGCCGGCGTTGCGCCCCATACAGTTCCATGTAACATATTCTACCCCTGATCCTAGATTTTAGAGTAACTTCTTTTTTGAACTGGCCGGCGGCTCGCCCCATACAGTTCCATGTACGATATTCTACTCGTACTAGCTTGAACTTAATTTTAAAATGACAACTTTTATTTAACTTGCATGTCGTAAGAAAGGCTGCTGAACCATATTGCCAGAAGAATTTATCAATGTAAGGCTACATAGGGCTATATAGAAAACCAGCCTTTTTAGACTATAAAAACATCAATTGAAAGAAGTCGAAAAATTGACATTTTCTCAAAGGGATTAGTCCATGTTGGTACAAATTATGAATTTCTTCGTTTTTTTCTTTTTAGGCCAAACAGGCTAAGAAAAAGTGTTTCGTATTGTTCTAGATAGAAAACCAGCCTTTTTAGTCTATAAAAACATCGATTTAAAAAAGTCGAAAAAACTGACGATTTTGCAAAGGGGTTAGTCCATCGTTTTGGTCAAAGTTTTCAAATTTCTTCGTCTTTCTAATAATTAGAAGATTATACATTAAGATAATTATACATTCTTACTGTATATCCAGGTGATAATATTTACATCATTCTTGGCATATAGTGAGGGAATAACGAAAAAAAGATGATTTGAGTGAATAGAAATGCGTGTTACCAAAGTTCTTCATTTTGTTACAAAAGTGCCTGATCTGTTACGAAAGTGCCCGATTTGTTACGAAAGTGCCCTATTAGAGTTAAAATAGTTCCCTACCGTTACAAAAGTTCCCTTCTTCGTTACTAAAGTTCCCAAGGTGCGTTACAAAAGTTCCCTTTTTACGTTACAAAAGTGCCCAATCCTCTGGCTCTCTCTCTCTCTCTCATTTTTAATATGAACTTAAATAGCATTAGGGGCTAACTAAAAAACTGCCCGGTTCGTTTAGCCTCTAGGCTCCAATTAATCACTTAATCTTCTTGTTAACTTGCCTAAAACGTGTATTATAATAATTCAAAAAGGGAATGAATAAAGATTGTAAAGATTGTAGTTGTTTCAACAATATCATTGCAATGTAAAGCGTAAACAGTCTCATTTCATAATTTGTTTTTATCACAATGGAAAAAGATGAATAACAAACGTAGCTGAAACTTGCAAAGTAGTCAGCCAGGATATCAATATAATTATGATCCCACCTGCATAGGTCTACACATTCGATTGCAGGATGTCAGTATACCAGGGGCTAGAACAAAGAGTTAACCATACCGACCAGTTTTGTTCATGTATGTCTATTAGGAGCAATGAAGCCTTTTAATGTGAGCAGACTAGGGAATACATTTTTAGTCTGCTGACAAGTGGAGCGGTAATTCAACTCCCAAAACAAACAAGGTACGCGAATAACGACTTGCATTGTAGATCACAAAACAAAGCACACTTGCTTAGTAAAAAAGGTGAACGCAACATAACGAAAAACAGGAAACTTAACTTTTATCATTTCTGTGAGTACCGATAGAATAGATTCTTGTAAGAGTCATTAGATGAAAAATAAAGTGGTTATGACTGTAATCCAAGCAGAATGCTTAATAAAACACCTTTTTACACAGAATAATCTCAAGGGGGCCAAAAGGCAGTTAGTATGAATTTTCTTTCCATTACCTTGAACTGGGACGGTGCGTTTAGTTCAGCTTGCAGGCATTCAAGTTGCACCCTGAGAGAGACCCAAGAGAGCAGGAGTATTACAAACTTTCCTTCATATACAATTGTTGACGTGCCAGACGTAAATCATTAACCAAGCATGCAACAGTAACTTTGCCTTATACCTGAGCTGTTCTTCATCAGCCTGCACAGAGTAACCACTTTTCCTGAGACATTCTTGCTTTATCATAAGCTGCAGGAAACAATTTACAGTAATTGTTAGTGCACAATTTGACAGAAATAGTGTCATTCAAAATTGTCAAAAATTTGTACCTAATGGTAAGGCTGTTCAAGGGTTACCCCCTGAAAAAGAGAAAAGAAAGAAGCTTGATCTAAACTAAAACCACATCGACCAGTACTTCAGAAAGTTATGCCTATGTGGAAAGATTGAGCCAATTCTGCGATGTGGACTGTACAACCTTTTAAATGGTTTTCTCTTTAAGGTCATTCGCTGGTTTTGCAATGCGCATCTCTTACTGTGCATAAAAAGATGGCCGCCATAAAAAAGAGCACCTGAAGTAACATTATAAAAATGAAGTTGAATGAAGAGAAACACTATTGGAGTTTTTGTTTACTGTTGGTTCTTGTCGAGATGAGATTCGGTGTGTTGGGAATGTGCATAACGTGAGCAGTATGTGTGTTGCTGAGTTCGACTTCCTCACAGAGAACCTCGAATAGTAGTGGATGTTGAACTCGTGCTTTGATTTTCATTTAAACGCCATCTTTATCACATTGCGTCCTAACTGTAATATTTTGATGTAATTTCTGTAAGTAGTCATGTTTCAGCAAAATTAAGCCCTGTTGGTGTTGAGTAAGGTCGAGGTAAATCATTAATATGCATAAGGGTCGAGTCCATGACATCACCCATTGTTTTAACCTAGGGAAAAAATGGTTTCCTCCTTATAAAAGAGGGTCTCCCTCCACACTAGGAGGTGTCTTCCCTCATATCTAATGCACGCCTCTCTTATACAATAGGAACAATAGGCTTGCTGGACTTGCCCGGTCTCTTTTAACCCTGATTTGGCTCATGTAGAATCTTTATATCTTCGAAATAAAAGCGGGTAGATTTCCAAGGCACTATCTAATTCTTGCAATCGCTTTGCTAAGAAAAAGTCTTTCTATCACCATCTTTTTTTTAAAACATTGCTTCAAAGGTGCAAGTCGAATTGGGCACTACACCTCTGTTGACAGAAGATAAAGCGAGTTCTTTACCTGGTCGGGTCTGCCCGTTTCACTCCCTCTCAACATTGGAGTTGGTAGAAAAGGCGAAAGGATTTTGCTACGTGCACTGCCCTAAGAAAATGTACTTTATGTTTGCCCCGCTTCAGAATAGAAAGAGGACATAGAGTGGATCACGCATCATACACACGCTGATGTGAAACAATATGCAGCTCAGTTGTGATTGTTCTTACAAGCCTGCACTGAGAAAAAGTGAACAGCCTTTGAGCAAGGATCATATGTTTCTGACATGCTACAAAAAAGGTGTGACTTTTTCATCTGGATACACCAGCCAATGTCGCATGGAATCAAGAAGTGGCTTTCTGTACACGTAAGTCACAGGTCGCAAGATTCCATCCTTATGGAGAGATAAAGGAGATGTTTGAGAAACGACACCAAGAGGCTAAACAGAAAGCACTTATCCAGCACCAGCACCATACCCGTAAAATGTTAGACGGTCTGAGATACAGAGAATGGATGCACGAGGTGTGGGAATCGTACAAGTTGTTTGCCCAAAGAATAAAAGAAGACTCTCTCGATGATCCAGACCTACACTTAGTTTAAAGAAAGACGATGTGCTGCATCAGGCATGTTACAAGTACGCAAGGGAGGATGGACGTCACCCCGAAAGTTATCGAGTGTTAAAGGCTTTGTATGAAAAACACATTGAACACAAACACGTACAGACGCAAACATGTAGAGACGGGGATGGATAGACAGCGGTCAGCTAGGGAGGAGAGCAGGAGAAAGAAGTGACGGAATGAGGGCTAGCATAACATACGGTGAAGAATCCAGGTGGTGGAATTGGTTACACCCTTCCCCTCCTTGATATCTTTGGGAAGGTCGGCTTTCCAGTCAATCAGATCAAATTTGAACTTTCCCCATTCTGCCTTGAGTTTTCCTATGTTGACATTAGCCTCTTCCGTTTCACTTTCGGTAAAGAAATACTCCGCTAGTGACTTAATGTGATCATCTCCATACTCCTTAAACTCCTGGCTTCTGATTGATAGTATAGCCATGACATCAAAAATGGAGAATGTTATCAACACTGGCATTGACGCCTGGAAACGATTGTTGATGTTAGTAATCAGAGAAGTAACATACTTCTTAAGCAGTCTGTCCATTTCTACAAAATGATGCTTGGTTCGTGCGAGATTAATCTCTGATAGCCTACAACCAGGTTTTAAGTCCCCCTTGCAGTTATTTAACTGAGATAGCTTTACCGCAGATTGTTTACAGTTTATGTTTGGCATGCTCAACTGCTGGTCCGATGTGGCTAAAATTCACCGCGCCTCGCTGGAACGTCTTATTTATTTGGTTCAATATGGGTACCACATACTGAAAAATGTAAATGCAACCAACAAACTTTGGAGTATGCATCTTCGTCAGCAGTCCACACGCTAGTGTGTCCTCCTTTTCAAGGGCCTGGAGGGTGCGAAAAACACACTCAAGGTCTCGGTAAATAGTGTCCACTGCGTGACCGAAAGAGAGTCATCTTGTATGTCAGGCTTTCTTCAGTCTCCTTGCCTTGATCTTCTTGCTCTGGTCTTGCAATTTCAGCGCATTAAGTTCTTCTTACACAGAGAGAAACATGTTTGTTCTCTTTGGGGAATTCTCCATTGCCTTCCATAGCGTCCTTAGGTCCTCTTCTACCTTGGCAATGTAATTTAGATCTTTACTTGTACCAACACAAGCCAGGGCGAGTTTGTGACAAATACAGTGTATGCTTACAACGGTGGGGTTTAATTCCTTTAGTCTAGCAGCAAGTCCAGATCAGGCTCCCAGCATCACACTTGCGCCATCACGAACAAGAGTGGAGCATTTCTCTGTTGATATCCTCAATTCTTGCAACTTTGAGGTCAGAATAGTAAACAAGGTCCGGGTATCTGCTGACTTGCTGTTGGCCAAAGCATTCTCAACAAAGAGAAAGTCCCTGCAAACCTCGTCAGAATCGGGTCAACAAACTGGATAAAGCTGATAAACTGCTCAAGTGCTGCAATATCAGTGACATCATCACACAAAAGACCAAAAAAAAAATTGATCTGTGCACTTTCTCAAGCAGCTGTTCGATAATGACCTGCCCAAGTGTGAGAAAATGTTCTCTTACACAGCCAGCTGATTTATGAGTAAAATGCTTCATCTCAGTCACATCTGCTTTCCCTAGAAGCTGAAGAAGAGGTACAGGTTTGCATTTGGGGATTTCTTGTTTAGCGATCCAGTAAACGGACATGAAAGCTTTATAAAGCACATCATCTCCAACATTTCCTTTAATTACTGAATCCCTGTGGAATGTTGAAACCCTCTGCAAATGGTTTTTCAAGGACAAAACTTTGCCAATCAGAGGTTTGTGTTCTGTGGCCAATGTTTCTCATGTTATTTGTAAACCTGAGGTAATTTCCTAAGAACGCAGGTACTGAGACCACGTGAAATATCCGGCAAATTTCGCCGGCTGCTGGCTCTTATTGAAAACCCGGCAACCTTACGTGTAATTCTTGCACTTAATTGTAGTCTCAGAAAAAGGTTATCACTCACGTTGGTTGGGGTTTCTGAGTACTGGAAGGACTTGTAGCTGTTTGTGGGTCTAGGTCCTGACATCGGGTGCATACCCCCATTCATTTAAAGCAAAGGTAACAATGGCTGGGGAAGGGGCGGTTTCCTCCCATAACTTAGTTCCTCATGATGGGCTAACATGTATGCAGCGTGAATATTAGACTATTTTAGTACCTCAAGTATCCTATGACTTAGTTCCAAGTGCTTTCTTTTAAACTGGGCTAGTTTGGCCATGGTGGTTGCACGGTTATGCTGCAATTCTGCTATCTCCTCATTTATAAGCTGCAAAGATAAAATTTCTTGTTACTGGTAAAAGCTTTATGCGTATTTACTTGATTAAACAGAGAGGCATTTATGACAATTTCAGCATTTTCAATGTAGCATTTATTTAAGGAAGGCATTTAATTTTCTCAATATCTGTCTTCTCGTTGGCTAAGGCCAACAGTTACTTGTGCAAATCTACGCAACCTTTATTATTTCCAAGAACAAAGTCAAAGTGTGTTGAATGCAACAATGTTTTTGTCATTATTTTTTTCAATACAATGAATAATGAAACAGTCATTAGATTCAGTTTTTGTTGTATACTGAATAATTAAGGATGAATGTCGCTAAGGACTGATCAAAATTGGAAATGATTAAACAAAACCTTCCCTCGTACTTTGTGTGTAGTTTGTACTTCAGATGAAACTACTCACTGTGGCACTTGTTTGACTTCTAACAATAACCTACACTGGGCATCGGGGGGAAGCAGGAGGGGGGGAGTTTGGGTCAAGAATTGGAGTTTTGTTAGGTGAATATTTCACAAAGTAGACTAACAGTTAAAAATCTGTTTACACGCTAGCAAAATATCATCCTTCCTCTCAATAAAAATGTTATCAATTTTTCTCAAACCCTCCCTGATGGCCCCTGTTCATTGTTATTTACAAGGGGGGGGGGACGTTTTTTGACAAGGCTTAAAAACAGACATTTTTGAACACATTTTTTTCTTAATAGCACTCCGTTTAGATCAAAATTGAAACAGGATGTAAATATTTCACCCTTTTTGAATCATTTCATGCTTAAAAATCCGCGGGCACTCGATACATTCTTGCACGCCAATCAAATGGAAAGGTATACCTGAGCCAAAATAGTAAATTTTCGAAACTTTTGTTTGCCGCTATCGTTCTTTTAAATTATGTCATTGGGGCGATGTTAAGTAAGAACGTTGGATGGTTCCTATAGATTGCATTCCTTTACGTTTTACAGTCAGTTATCGAGCAGATTATCTACTGTATGACTGTGAGCCGTTCCTGTAAGGGGAAGCGGGTTTGCCAAATCCCCGGCACAAGAGATTGTGGCACATAAAGAATTTGCGCAAAAGGAGACTGTGCACTATTATACTTTGCTTATGCTTTGCTTGCAAAGCAGATATTTCTTATGACCATTGCATCGAAGTCGTTCCTCAATTAACCTACAAGCTTTATTCTTAATGTCAATTTAGGGAGCATGAAACAATTCTGAAATGCTAACAATTTGTTTGGTTAAGCTCATATTTACATTCTGCTTAATTATAAAGTAAAAGACAATTTTTTATAATAAATTAAATTACTACGGGATGTCCGTGGGAAAGCCACGAAAAAATTATACTTCTTTGAAAAAAAAAGGACAAACACCCAGCTGACATGCTTGATTTGATTGAACAGGGGCCGCGAGGAATCGGTAGGTAATGATGATGTTTCTATTGTTTGCGCCCGCAAGTACAAAATGGTCAGGATGACGTAAAGACAGAAAATCCCGAAGGGATTAACTGTTAGTCTGCTTTCCGAAATATTTACCTAACAAAACTCCAATTTTCAAGGAGAAAATTATCTCAAAAAATGCAATTTTTGGCCCAAACGTCTCCCTCTGATGCCCAGTGTAGGTTTTTGTTAGAAGTCAAACAAATGCCACAGTACGTACTTTCATCTGAAGTATTAACTACACACAAAGTACGAGGGAAGGTTTGGTTGACCATTTCCAATTTTGCTCAATCCTTACGAACATTCGTTCTTAAGGTGTTATCAGCCACAGCTGATGACGCTGAGACATTTAGCACCTGAGACATTTAGCAACTGTGTGAACTATTAACTTCACTTGTTTCTTAGTTGCAGTTCATATACATACTATAATTTCTATCATTTATTATTGTTCATATTATTATTACTGACAGATATTCTTTTCTGATGCTGTAATGTCTCTTGTTCCTGTAGCTTCTGCCTCTTTTTCAATTCATTAAATCCAGTTATGACCATTGGAATCAACCTTGATGTCCAGTAAAAAAAATACAGAATTTATTGCAGTTATTGCAGTCAAACTCTAAAGATCACACACCAATACTCTTTCAATGGGATATCCAATACCTATATCATAAGTATGTTAAGTGTGATCAATTGGGCAAGTGCAGGACTGATAAAGACTGTTAAATGATGTCACTGATATTTCAAGATTTCTAACATCCGTTGATGGATTAATTAGGTGGTAATGTCATGGATCCGTTGTCCATTAAGCTGTGGTGAAGACTCAAAAATGCAAGTGGTGCATTTCAACCCATACTTTGACATTATAATATATGACTCCTTTTCATTTAAATGCATTCATAATTAAACTGCTCCATAACCACCCAAGTGGATCCGCTCCCCTCATACCACTTAGGATGTCACCGGTGTTAACTGTCAACACTAACTTTCACACCTATAACTTATGAGATCTTTCAAGGCACACTCAGATGAGTACAGAAAACCAAAAATAGCGTGTAATTTCAAACGGAAATTGCAATGAACCCAACCGTACTTCCTTCAAAATAATCCCTTGATCCTCCAGATTTTGAGAAAAAAAATTTTCCATGGAAATGAAGCCTAGTAAAATGCTCTGACTAAGGGCATGCTTGATTGACCGTATTCCGGATAAGAATATATGGAATAAACTCTAGAAATCAGTTGTTTTGCCTTTCATTGTACTTCATTGTAACTGCCTAAAATAAGTATATATTCTTAAAAATTGGGGGCTTTCTTATTCCGGACGATGATCAATTGAAAGCACCCGAAATAAATGCTAATCAATTGGACTAGTAATATTTACCTATGAGTGTCTGGATTGTCTTTCTTAGCTTGTTCCCAAAGTAAAGAATCAATTCCTACCAGAATATGTCAAGAAAGAAATACATTTCAGTGTAGTATAGTACATGATCATTATGTTTAAAGTGGCATATGTTCAGTAGACACAAAAGGTTTTATTGGAAATTCTGATCATTGCATAATTCCAATTAGGGAGGATAATAGCCTAAACTATTGCACATGACTTCGTCATTTCAATCTTGAGGTAGTTACACATAAACTTGTAACATGTGGACATCTAATATAATATACAATGTTTGCCCCTCAAAATTTTGCATAACCTTTGTCTTTAATATCTCCTGGGTACTATTTAATTCTATTTATTTGTATAAGTTTGTGCAGGCAGGTGGAGACTGTTTAAGTAATATGGTCATTATAAGCAAGGAACTGGTCAATGTAGATGCCAAGATTTTTAGCAACAGTGACCAGTATGACGGTTTTACCAAGAATGCAAACGGATATAGCAGTTAACTGAGAAAGGAGGGGAAGAAGGAGTTGAGGAACACCAATAAAAAGGACTTTAGTGATATCGAGATTTATTAGAAGAGAAATTTGATGACATTTTCCAGATCCGTATTTAGATGGTCATGTCAACTGCTGTAAGGGAAACGAAAGACACAGTTGAAAATCGTCTACATAAAAGGCCAATTTGCAGTATCAAGGGACGGATAACAGATGGTTCACATAGAAAGTATAAACAAGACTGGACCCACGATTGGCCCCTGAGTGACACCATATTTCAATGGTAGAGCATCAGAGATGGTATCTTGGATGTGCACTCTAACTGTGGCCCACAAGGTAGCTAAGGAACCATTCGAGACTTTTGGAGGACACACCCAAGGCTTGTAATTTGGTCAATAGTTTTTCATCTCTTATACTATCAAAGGCCTTTGACACATCGAGTAAGACAAGAGTGGACATTTAGATTTGAAAAAAAAAAAGTCAAAATTTTGGCTTATGGGCAAAAAAAAGCTGCTTCATTACATCCAATTAGCAGAAATTAAGTCCTGAGCATTGGAAACCTCTTAATTCAGCCATTCCTATATGAACTGGCCGAAAAACGGTTCAAAAAGACGAAATTTGGTCCAAAATGCATTTTTCCCCAAAAATTGGCTGACGGCAAAGGAATAAGAACCGGAGTCACCTCAGCGATTCTCCATGCCCTTGCAAAGGCTCCAATAATACTTGTGATAAACGGAAGAAACTACTGGCAAGCTGTCTTTGAGTACTCAAGCAGAGACTTTGTCATATCCCGGCACGGGAGCACTTTTGGCTTTACAACTGGCTCACAGGGGAGGTAGGTAGGGTACTTTTGACCCTTTTGAGGCTGACAACCAATGTGTTGAAGATAAGCCAAAAAGGTGGCAAGGAGGGTGCATCAATCAGCGAACAGCAGATCTATCATGGGATCTTTAACTATCTTGCCTTGGGCGAGCAAGTAATGCACATTGAACAGGATACAGTGAATGTGCAAACGGAGGTAGTTACTATCTCGGTCTCACAGACTGCATTGTGACCACCGCTATAATAGACTGCTCACTTGTTTTGTTCTTTTTTTCCTTTTCATGATCAGTATCATCAACACCAGTTTTAATTTTGTGCATGTTTCTTTGCCCACAGATGAAACTACCAGTCAAGTAACGTTGCTTTAGTGTGGAATGTCTTGAACATTACAAGCAAGTTAATTATAGTTCCAATAACAGAGAAAGCGAGGGGATCATTTTAAAACTATTTTTCTGGATCAAAATCATACAAATCACGTCATGAATAAAAGTAATTAACAAATACTTCCAAAAAATGTTTGTGACCTCCTTATTACAGGTGGCTATTAAGTGGCCATTTATCAGGTTTCACTGAAGTTTATCACTAAAACCGTGGAAAAGGAAACCTTAAAAATAATTGTCATACCAACAGGGGGATTTTCCAGATACTGCTGCAGCTGTGATGCTGACATGCTGGTCTTCATTAAAATATTCACAATGCCAGTGGCCTCAAGCTGAGCCTGAAAGGATATTTTGAAAAGATATTTAACAATTATTCCACAAGTGCACATTGGATATAAGTTGGCTATAATCATCTCATATCCAATGAGCGCGAGTGGAATAATTGTGCTATCAAAAACGCCCACAAAATATCGAGAATTCTTCCCAAATTTATTTGTAAAAACAACCGGTTTTCAGTTTGTTTTTATTTTTGAGCAGACGTACATTTACCATATTTCAAGAGCATGGTATAATGGTTCATATACCATGATGGCTAAGCCAATCAGAGCTCTAGAATTACATCATCCAATGATTCAGTTTTTACTAATATAGAATATCATCCAATGTTATCTTATCACTTAATACCACATCAAAAAGGGGAAAACCACGATCTGTCTTAGTGATCCAGTTTTAAAAGGGTCGCATATAATACACAATGGTACAAAGACAGCAAAAGCAGGCACAGCTGTGGTCTTAGCCCCTCAAGTGATGTTGCTGGATGTAAATCATATCACAGAAGGAAGAATAACTATGATGCAAAGGAAGGTACACGGCATGAAGTTAACAATTTTCACCTGTTACTACCCAACTGAGGAATATCCTAATTTCAGCAAACAATCATTTTAAGTACGAAACGATCCAGAAAGCAATTTGCAAAGTCAAAACTGAGCCTCCTTCTTTCAAAGTAATACCTGCTGATGTCATCCTAAAAGATGGTAGAGTGTTGACGATAACCAAGTGAGTTAAAATGGGCCAAAGTTTACAGAGACAGCCCAAAGCAATGGTTTCTACTTACTGAACAACAAGTTCATAACGAGGTCAAATGAACATAGATTAGTTTCAATAGTAGACTTGACTACGTTATGGCTGAATGATATGCGAAATTGTCATAATGACAGCCTGGTTTACAAAAGAAAGACCAAAGGAAATTTTTGCCATGAAACCTCTATTTGAAATCAGAAACTCATAACCCCTTATGAGCTTCTGTTGAAATCTAAAATTATCTTTAGAGACAATGCACCCACAAAGATATGGTGCCTGAACTCAACTCTCAGGAGGAGGTAGATAAAGACATCAATTGCCACCAAACTTATCACAAACCTGTTAATTCAAACCTAAGAGCGAATGGCAACCACAAATTAAAGGTCCCCAAAACTAACTGCAAAACACTAGGGGACAGTCCGTGTGCTCGTGTTGGTACCACACTGTGGAACACTCTTCTTGGAGCTATCTAGGACTATTCAACAATATTCACTTCCTAGCTAGTGGATAATCTTTGAGCTCGGTGTTTTTCCCATTTTTTTAGAGAATGATCTTTTAAAAGTCAACAAAACCCTAGGGTTGACTTTTTTTAAGACAAGAAAAGACTTCAAAGGATTCAAAAAAGCGTTTTTCCATTTACTGTAGCTGAGTTTTGTGCTCGATGGATTGTTTACAACTCCTGTTTATTCGCGTAGAAGAGACCGTTTAGTGAACCCACCGTTTCCTAACGTGAAAAATTTGGCCCAAAAAGCGAAGTATATTTATGACAAACAAATTTGAAAGCAAATGTTTACAGAAATTCTACGTTTCAAGTAAATAAGAAAAAGAATGCTACAGGAAGACGACGTCTTACCTCGAGAAACCAAGCCACCATTTTTGTCAGCACCTCATGCGAAGAATGACCCAACAAACCTTTCTGACTATAAACTTGGCGAGTCAACAGAAAACAGCAAAGCTCTACTTTTCTTCTCAGGTGTGGAAACAATTCAAACTGTTAATGGTTCCATTTAAGCCATTACGCTGTTGTTTGCAAAGTGATAACTTGTGAATTGCCATGTTTGAAAATTCTGCAAAGATCTATTTTTAAACGTTCGTGTGATTTGATCGGTCAATCAAATCGTACTTTTTAATGGTTCTCTCTCTGATTTAGTTGGGATCACTTCGTATGCTAATACAAAAACAGTTATTCTTTTTAATCTCGGTGAATAGTGGCTTTACGAATATTTAGCTCGCTGCTTCACCGCTCGGTAAATAATTAGCCACTATTCACCTAGATTTCAAGGAACAATTGTTAATTATTGTCCGGTCTTCAACGCATGCAATTATTGTTAATTTCTGGTCAGTTAATATAGGAGGCAAACTACGTTAGGTGAAATAATTATTAACTGTACCATCACCCAATGAGACAACAATTCACTGTTTTGCTTACATGCTAATAAGGATAAAGCAAAAGATTTCCAGTACTTTGATCAGATCATCTGATATATCTGGGACTAGATATAATGCCGATAACAATACACAAACAAAGAAGAAAACTGCGGAGATATATATGAACTGTTATAAGAGAGAAGCAAACATTTTCGATGTACTTCTGGTACAGTAAAAACTCGCGTGTAAGAACCTAGTGGTTAAAGAAACTGCCAGACAAAGCAACTTCTCATTTGTGGGTTACTATTAAACTATGATAAATATTTCAACCACAGAGTTCGACATTGAGATCACAAATTAACATTAAAAGAAAATACTGATAGAAAACATAGCAATATGTACATTCTGTGATTAATATGTACATTCTAATATGTACATAATATAATATATCCTAATATGTTCATTCTAATATGAACATTCTGTAATCAATTTTGTTTTTGGCTAATCATGATAGAGTTGCGAATAAACATTGTGTTTATGTTAAGGACCAAACCCAAGTTTATTCATTTCCTTTATAAAAATACAAACCTAATAAACTCAGAACCTACTAGGCCTAAATGGCCAATAACTACCCCAAAGTACCGAACCCATTTTGCCAGACTTCGAACAATGCAGTTTCTTAGAAGCGGATACTGTATGTTTAAAGGAGAGATGAC